GACAGCTGCGTGTCGACATGGCCGAGATGCGCACGATGGTTGCCGACCTTATCGAGCGGCAACGCAGCTCGGCCCCTGTCCCTCCTCTGCCCGAAGCCGAAGACCCCAATGAGCTCGAGGAGCTAAAGCGGCGGCTCGTCATGCTGAAGGCGAGGAGCTCCACAGTGGAGCGCGCGAGACCGCCTCTCGCCCATGAGCTGAAGAACGGTCCCCCTGTACTGGCGCCTCGCAGGATCGCAAGGGCCGTGAACACGTATGGCGGACCGAAATTATGCGTGACACCCGCGACACGTCCTGCCGCTGCTCTCCCAGCAAGGCAGGTCCAGACAACGAGGGTACCAAAACCCTCCCCCTCAAAGACGCAGGAGGCGGCTCCTGTCCTGAGGTGATGACCCGGGCGCGCGGTAGTGTCAACGTAGACGCCCTCGGCGTGGAGGGTGGCCTGAAGGTCCGGCAGACGGCCAACGGGGCCCGCCTGTTAGAATGCCCCGGCGCCAATTCCAGCGCCGCGGCGGAAAAACTGGCAGTCCGCCTGCGGGAGATCACTTTGACCAACATCATAATTTTGAGTTTGACAAAATAGAAATCCTAGATAAAGAAATGAATTGGTGGAAACGTAATTTTAGCGAAATGATCTTTATAAAAACTAATGATACTGTGAACAAACGAACAGACACTAACAATTTAAGTATTTTATATAATGATATATTAAAAGAGTAAAAATCTAATAGAAAAAAATAACCTTTATTTCATATATATTTGAATTTGATACTTAGCGTGGTTGGCGCTAGTATAAAATATTGTAAAGTATAGTCTATGTACTGAAGTTTCGATAGTGGGCTAACCTTTGTCACGCAATTAGCAATTTTTATGTGTCGTGTTGGCTTTGTTTCCGGAATCAAAAATAGTAATTAACTAATTTAGCGGCTTTGTAGATTTGTATTAGTTTCTGATGTCTGAGACAATTGTGCAGTGTAAGATAGGGATTATTTAAATTCATATTATGGTAAATATGGTAGTTTCGACAATTGTTGTTTTTTGTATTGTAGGTTATCAATTATGTGTAATTTTCAGATGCCTGATGAAGGTCTAATAAAAGACCNGATAGGGATTATTTAAATTCATATTATGGTAAATATGGTAGTTTCGACAATTGTTGTTTTTTGTATTGTAGGTTATCAATTATGTGTAATTTTCAGATGCCTGATGAAGGTCTAATAAAAGACCGAAACGTTGCTAAAATAATAATGTAATTTGTTATGATAGTCCTATCTTGTCCACATTCCTGAGATACACAAAAAAAATATTATAAACTATACTCAACAGTAGTCGTTTAAGACTTACAGGCTGTGATGCCATGACCGAGGGGAGATGTGTCAAATTTCTACTATGTTTCAAAAGTAAATACCTTATACTTTACACAAGACAAGAATAATAAAAATTCTCTGCTACGTGTGACATGAAGGAGAAGCAAACAGAGGAGCTATAGAAATAGGGACCTGTGTTTTAGAATATTTAAAAAGTCTTGGCAGAGATTTAACAGCTGAAGTCAAACTAGATATAATTTTTTACTCTGACAAGTGCTGCGGACAGCAAAAGAATAAGTTCATTATTAGTCTGTACATGTACGCTGTTTCTAATTTTGATTATATTAATAGTATCATGCATGAATTTCTAATAAAAGAGCACACGTAAAACGAAGGTGACAGACAGTGTGCATTCTGTCATTAAAAAAAACATTAAACTTTTAAATCGGGCCCTATCTATACACCCGATCAGTACATTTCCATAATTCGCACTGCAAAAAAGAAAGGATCTCCTTACAAAGTCATAGAAATGAATCATACAAATTATTACGATTTAAAGTTGCTAACCTCTGACGTGGGAAGAAATTTTAATAAAAATACTGATAATAAGACTGAAAATTACAGATATAAAGATTCTGAAAATAGATGCTGACCACAAAGGGTTCTTTTTGTATAAAACTTCTTACGGTGAAAATTAATTTAAATTTGTGAAAGTTATTCGAGTTACAGTGTTCATCGTTCATAAAAATACAACTTACAATTGTAAAACTACTGGAATGTAATGTCGAAGAATTAAAAAAAAACGTTTTGGTTAGACGTGTTTTCCACAATAATTGAGTTATATTGCAATAATCTCAGCGTTACTGGTATATTTACGACCAATTTCACGTCTTGGTAGTGCACCGACTATCATATGCCTGTTGGGAACGTACAATAGCGCGCCACATAACCTACCTCTGCACTTAACCTCACGTCATGCCAAAGAAAGCGACTACGGCGATAGCTACAATGGAGCCCGATTCGGTGAAATCCTTAGAGACCCGCTTTAAGGATGGTATGAAGTTGAAATGTAGTGTGGCTGATATCAAGACCGCCTATCGCCTTGGTAAGGTGAGCAATGACAAACCGCGTCCTATACTTGTTAAATTTCAAAACTTTAATTTTCGCTCTGAGTATGGAAGAACAAGAAACTGCTTAAGGGTGGAAAGAAGAGATATTTTCATAGAGGCACGACAGTTGCTGGGCATGAGTAATTGTTGAACCCAAGACGGCAACATTTTCATTAAGCGGTCTTATGGTGACAAGTGTAGGTTGACTTCATTCGCCCAGCTGCGTGAGCTGCCTACTGAGAAGGTACTTCCAGGAAATAGTGACAAAACGAGGAACCGCCCCACCCGCTCAAATAAAAAGTGAATGAGTAATGTTCTGTTTTGGTGGTCCGACAGGGAATAGGAACTTCCTAAGAATAGTGTGAAATCGCTCCAACCACTCGTTTAATAGTGAACCATCAATGAGATGCTGTTTGGTACTTTATAGGTAGTTAAACTAATTGTATCTCTTTATTTATAATAATAATATAACATTGATTTCTGACCACTTGATGAATGGGTTCATATTATAAATACCTCATTTACTAACATATATATATTTATATTTACTAAATTAAATAAATAATAAATAAAATAAAAAGCCTTTTATTTCTTGCATTTAAAAAAAAAAGTGACATTAAAAAACTTAAACAAATTGTTAATAATACATTAATAATAATAGACACTAATTTTAATAGAATTCTTAATATAATGTGTATAATATTATTCGGATCGCTTAAGTTCATAACATTATAGTAAAAGATATAAAAAAGGTTACAAAATAAAATAAAATAAAATAATTTATCCCCAGTGTAATTTCAACATGTCAAGCAAACAGTTTACTGACATTTATTTATCTTTAAGTGCTCTGTTATTAGTAATAAATTAATTAATTAAACTACTCTGTAACTACATAAGATAAGATGTCAGTTTTGTCTAAACTTTGTATGGATACCTAACTACTTTTTACTATGTGTAGGCGACCTGTGTGTCCATAAACCGTGATGAGTGGTTAAAAATTTGGTTATTATGTTTTGGGTGGTTGCATACCTACCTTGCATCTGAACATTAAAATTATTTTCTCACTTTATCTTTATTTTTAAATATTCAAAATTTTCGTAAATATAGAATTATCTTGTACCTTGTACCTTGTATCTGATGAGATTGTTTTCTCACTTTCTCTTTTGTGTAATATGTGAAATTATTAATATTTCTTACTAGTTATATTTGAAGTTGTGTGTGGTGTTTCCTGGGGTATGTTTTTATTATTGTTTTTGTAAGTTGTAATACTGTTAAATTGGATTCTAAATATTTAGTTGGTAAGCTATGTGGGATCTTCTCCAGTTAATCCTTTTTTTTGCAGAGGTGGTTTATGTTGTGCTGTGCTTTTTAGGCATTTTGCAACCTACCTTAGATTAAGCCTAAATCGGTGTGTGTTATTTTATTTTCACTTTATGTTTCACTTCATTTATCATTTTATATAATTTTGAACGAAGCGGTGAAACCGGCATACGGCCGGCGGCCGGCTCAAATCACCGACGCATCGGCGCAAGTACATCAGTGAATCAGTGTTATACGTAATACGTAACGTAGTTAATAATATTTTCTAATTATAATATCAGTAATTTATCGTGTACTTTGTAATTCAGTTTAGGTACACTGTAGTGCATTTGTCAGTTAACAATAGAATAGTTAGTTAGTGTAAGTCAGTCAATAATAAGTCATATCAATACATAATAATATTCATTATTACTAGATCAGTAAGGCAATTATCAGTTATCAGTTTTTAATTAAATAAACAATGTCTTCTAAGGGGGTATTGAAGGCTAAGGCCCAGTTTCAGTCGCGTTACGCGATATTGACTAACGCGTTTAAATCAGTTCAAGATGTCAACCCTTCATCAGCCACAGCCGCTGCCCAGCTGCAGTTCAGTACGTACTTTCCTCACATGTTGGAGTGTTACGAGGTAATTATTACCAACAAAGCGGAGTCCGACGAGCCCGAGTTTGCGGCGGAGCTGGAGGCTATTCAAACTCAGTTTAGCGAGGTGAGTGCAATGTCACTTAAAATTAATGCTTTCACCAGCCTCGCCGACGCGTTCACCCATTTCAGACCAGCTGAAGGTCCAGCTGCCAGCCATTAAGTTGCCTGAGTTCAGTGGCAATATAGCCTAGAATGGATTAGTTTCAGAGACTTGTTGCAGTCGTTTGTGAACGGACAGTCAGCCAACATTATCAGAATCAGAGAAACATTATTACCTCCGGGCCTCACTCCGATGTGAGGCGTTGATGGTAATTGGTCATCTGCCCATGGACGGCAGCAATTATCAGGGTGCCTGGCAATTACTTAAGGCCAGGTATGACAACTCACGGGCGCTAACCTACCTGGAGCGTATCATCAGTTTGTCTGCAGTTACACCTGCATCAGACCTCAGAAGGGATCTATACGACCCATTGAGTGAAAGTATTTAGGCCCTCAGTCAGTTAGCATTACCCGTTATTCAGTGGTCATATCTTTTAATCTTCATAGTACTAAAGAAATTACCATTTAGATTGCGTCAGACGTTCGAGGAACGGTATGGCAAGGCGCAAGACGGCCTGCCCACCTTCGAGCAGCTGATGCAGCTGCTGGATGAACAGTGCAGACTTCAGTCAACGGTGTCGGGTCAGTCACCACACCGTGGTTCAGAACCTATTAGAAGAACAAGGCCGAGGAGTCCACGGCAGCGTCCAGTGGCCTCGACCAGTCAGTATCAGTCCACTCAGTCCAAGACCGGAAATTATCAAGTGAAGTGTTCATTTTGTAATTTAGAACACACCCTATACAAGTGTAGGGAGTTCCTTGAGCTGCACCCATATAAACGCAGGGTGTGGGCAGCCAAGAAACAACTATGTGAATTATGCCTCCGATTACATCCGGGGAAGAGCTGTTCACACAAGGGTTGGTGTAAATATTGTAACACCGAGACACACAAATACCTTGTTGTGTTTCCAAGACTCACAAAAGAAAGGTCAATCATCTACCGGTAGTGGTCAGAACAGGTTATATCAGTCCCGGAAGACTACTGGTACAGATCAGGCAATCAGTCACGGGGATCAGACCCGAACCACGTCTTCAAGGGTTTGTGGTTCACCAGTTCAGTTCAGTCAGCCAAGGTCTAGACAACCAGGCCAGTGGGTGCGTTTAGCCAACGCAATGTATGAGGACTTGCGGTTTGGCAAGCGGATCTCACCCCCACTTTCAGATTGAGATACGGCGACTGTCGATACTACTGGCGTCATGGGGAGGTCCGTGTCCCACAGCCTATATCAGTATTAAAAATAGTCATAGTAATTATATTCAGATTAGAGCCTTATTAGACACCGGAGCTAGTGTCTCAATAATTAAGGATTCATTAGTCATTAAATTAAATTTGTATCGACAATCCAATTCATGTAAAATTTACGGTATTGGGAACCAATCAGTCAGACAGCCTGATCAAACGGCTAAAATAGTCATCAGGCCACCAATAAGCCATTACCAGTCATCAGTACTTGTTCGAAACCAATCCGTTAGTTTTTGAATTTTTACCACGGCAACACGGGTCGCGATTTGACGGTGCCTTCGCGATTTGACATCTGTCACTTTGTCTTGCTTCTCGAACGGGACGGTACCTGTGTATTGACGGTCTACGCTAAAGTATTGTATCATCGCTAATCCTTATCCATTCCTGCCCTATACCCTTCTCCCTAAGTGATACGGCGNGCTAAAGTATTGTATCATCGCTAATCCTTATCCATTCCTGCCCTATACCCTTCTCCCTAAGTGATACGGCGTGAGAAGACGAAGGCATCGGTTCCGGTGAGTGATTGCATGATATTTTGTTAAAATAGTACATACGGCGCCGCGAATCGCGGCACATGTTCGACGCGCACCTCGTGCTGGTTTCCGTAGCCCTAGGTTGCCACGAGGTCGCTAGGTTCGAATCGAACAGTACTAATGCAATTATTGTGTATACACTCACGACGGAGCTGTCTTGATATCAGACCAATCAAAAGGATTCGCGGTCATGTCAGTATAATAATATTCACTTAGCAGATAATTCTCGTAGAATGAATCAAGAAATAGAATTAATATTAGGAACAGATATTATCAATTATGTGTTTGATGGTACAAAAATATCTTTACTTTCAGGAGCAGCTGCATATGGCACATGCTTTGGCCACGTCATCATGGGACCAGTGGCTACTCATCAGAACGAGTCAACTCATCGAACTCCAGAAGGAAGCAGATTACTTCCAACAGTGGTAAAATACCTACATCAGTTCAATATTATGGTGTTCAAGTCACCCACCTAGAAGAGGCAGTTCAGAGATTTTGGAAATCAGAGGAGCCACCTATGGAGAAGGTTGAGTATCCAGACCACAAGGAATGTGAAGAATTACATCAGGCAACCATGGTAAGAACACCAGATGGTAAATATATGGTACGAATGCCACTCTTATCAGACCAGCCTGCATTAAGCGATTCACAAGAAATTGCTCTTCAGCGTTTCAAGCAAGGCGCTCAAACGCAAGAGGGGAAGATATCCATTGTTTGCTCAGAAATACATAGAATTCATGGATGAATATGAACAAATGGGTCACATGACCAAATCAGACTTCAGACTAGATTCAGAACACTATTTCAGCATCATCATGTTTGCAGCAAGTGCGTCATTCCAGGGCTGAGATCCGGGACTCAGAATCAGACGAAGCCAGAGAAGTCCGCTTGCAGCAAATGCATCATTCTATTGCTGAGATCCGAGCCTCGGAATCAGATTAAGCCCGAGAAGCCTGTTTGCAGCAAGTGCGTCATTCCATGGCTGAGATCCGAGCCTCGGAATCAGACGAAGCCAGAGAAGTCCGCTTGCAGCAAATGCGTCATTCTATTGCTGAGATCCGAGCCTCGGAATCAGATCAATCCAGAGAAGCTCGTTTGCAGCAAATGCGGCAACGAAATGCTGAATTCTGAAGACTAAGTAGAGCCAGTGTAACGGGCTTTATGCAGTAAATTAACACGTTTTGTGATAAGATATGTGAAATTGGTACCAAACGGTGCTATAAACATCAAATATCGAAATGGATTGTACATACCGAAACTGCACCATACTTGCCTAACGAATCAAAACAGAAATTTTTGTTTAGAAGTTTGCAACCGTTGCCAGGCACATTTGAGTTTGAAGAAAAATATAGCGCCATCTAAATCTTATTGGAATAATTTGGATCCAGGTCCTATTCCAGAGGTTATTGCTGTGTTATCATAAGCTGAACAAAGGCTAATTTCACGTATAATTCCATTTGTTAAGATCATCCAATCAAGTGGCGTATTTGGGCAATACAGTTTTCGAAGCCAAGCGGTACAGTTCGCTCAAGAAATTTTCGAAGTCACTGAAAACCTTCCTAACATGTATGCCAGAATAGTTATTGTTACAGAGCGTCTTGAATCTTTCAATATCTAGACAAAAAGTTTATGATGCACTGTATTGGTCAGTTGCAAATAATCCGCTGTACAAAGCACCAGTTAATATTGCTGAGGGAGACCAATGAAGAATCTACAAACGATGCTAGTGCTTATATGAAAATTAACGATTTATCGAGAAAGGTACGTGCTTCATGGCACCAAGGCAACGACGTCATTTTTACATCAGGATTTGCAGGCGTACAATGTTGTGCGATGGCATTGGCAAACATTCTAAGGGCCTGTATTCTTTCACCACAGCACTGGTCTACAAATGTCCTTAATGTGAATATGATTATATGTGACCAAATCTACAGCAATATAAGATTTCAAACAGAGAGAAATTTAGCGGCACACCCTATTGATGATAATGGATATCTATTGGTGCAAAACTTTAATACCATCAAACATGATCTGGTAACATTCGACAAAAGATTTCAGATCACTTTTGATGAAGAACCAATTATTTATTGATGCTTGAATGATAAATTAAATCAAACAAATTTCGGTTGCACTCTTCGTCAAGGTTTAGAAAATCTGTTCGTAGAGCATAATGCAGGTATACTAATTACCCCGGAATCTGGACGGGACCTTCAGCACGCAATGATTGCGTGCTGCGGGAATCGTCTGCGAGGGGGCAGATGCTGGACTTCCACCAGGCACGTCCGTAGGTGGCGGATCACGGGATCTTCTGGGCGACATTCTCAGAGGTATCGTCCGATCTTTTTCGTTGCGAGGATATTTTTTTAGGTTTAGGATTAGGTTTAGATGTAGGTTAAGGTCCTAGGTTTAGGATTAGGTTAAGGTTAGGTTTTGGGTTTAGGGTAATTTAGCTAGGCTTTGCAACGAAAGAGATCGGATGACGCGGACCAAACCAGCACTAGGAGGAGCGGAAGGTCTGCGCCCTCCACACTCTTCATCAAGTGAAGAGTGCTCCTTCCGGAGAATGCAGCTTCCGACGGCACCGGTTTGCCGGCTTGCGTGAGCGGTGGCACCCTGTGCCCGGTTGTCGTAGGAGTGAGCCAGCGTTACATTTCCTGCAACTGCTGGCCGCTGGTTGTTATGTCCCCGGCTTCGGCTACAGGGGAACGCCCCGGTTCGCCGGCGTGGTTCCGTGGTTGCTCATTTCGAGCGTCGGGCGGTGGTCTACCGAGTTGCCCTGGGCAATCGGTGGGCGACCAGCCAACCCGTAATCTCCACTGAGTGGGGTGCGGTGACCGCCGGGGTCGCGAGGACGTAAACCTGTATAAAAATACCCCAATCCCAAGCTCCGACGCCTGGCGAAGGGATGAATGGCTGGAGGGAGTCCAGTCCCGACGGCATCACTCGATCCCAGGGGACCACGCCCCTGGTTAAATAACAAAGGAAAAACTGGAATGAAGGTAGTCTCGAAGGAGATTGTCTCCACGGTGGCGACCAAATCGGGCTCGTTGAAGGGCACATATGTGCAAGCCCTGAACCGCGTGGCCACCGCCGTGGAGACACGATTGGATGATCTCTTAAAGCACACAAGCACGGACGAAGTGATTAGCCTGCGGTTGCAAATGGGAGAACTGCAAGCACTATACACTTTCATGCAGGTGGAAAACGCGGAGCTCCGTGCGGAGAGTGCTCGGGTGCGGGAGGAGATGGCCAGGATGCGTGTGGTCCTTGACGATGTCGTGGGATGCCAGGGCAGGATCCGTTGTACATGATGAGTCTGAAATGACAGAAACACATCACAGTGCCGAGAGGGTACCAGCAGCCTTCCAAACAACAAGTAATTCATGAAATAATTCCATTGCAGACATCAGTGATGGCACCGATTGATGTAATGCAACCCAATGTGGAAGATGAATTACAGGTTTCACAAAACCTTCACGAAATTACCCAAAAAACAAAAGACAATATTGTAAACGTGGGTCATGAACTGAAAGCAGAAGAATTTGCCTGGTACTTTTTGTCTTCCAATGGAAAAAGCGGTTTTAAAGTGCAAAGGCCCGTAAAAATTACAGCTTTAGACTACTTTCAGTTCAGAATTTTGAAAAGTGATACAAGATTTCAATTACAGAATTAAAGAAAAATTTAATCAATTCTTGAAGCGTATATTAAAAAAAAAAAAAAAAATCGGGTGCATGGTTTTATTTGTTATAAATATTTTTCTGACAGATATGAGTAGAAGAATTATTATTTCAATAATATCTTAATAAGCACCCCACACTTTTTTTAAATAAAATATATATTTTTTTACACTATTTTCAATTTAAATTTATTAATATTTATTATTAATTTTCTATTTTTTAGTTGAATTTTATATAAAGCGTGCTTTTTAGTTTTTTAGGCTATTATTTATTATCATTATTTATAATTACTTATACAGAAAATCGTCATTCCTGTTAGCGGCTTTTTTCTATTTTTATCGTTTTCTCAGAAATTACTAAGGAACAGTCTCTGTTTCTAAAAATTGTTTCTATTGTTTATTAAAATAAACCCAAAATAAGTAATAAATCACGATATTTTTATTTATTTAATTTTTTTCATCAAAATGTAGAATAACCCAAATCATCCTGTTCCTTATGAATATCACCAAAATTATTTCAACTGTAACTTTAATATTGCATTTGGTTACCCCCACACAGACACCAGTAGCCAGTGTAATAAATTATTAGTTAAAGGGAAGTGTTTGAGTGCAAAAACTTATGAAGACAAATGAAGAAAGAGAGCAAATACTTATAAAACAAAAAGAATTGAGAAAAAAAAAACATTACATAAATTATAAAAAGACGAGCGAAAAATAAAACCAAGAAAGATACAAGCTATGAGAGTATAATAATTGACTATGCCAAAAATTGACCAGTGCCAAATATTACAACAAATGATGTTTATTATCAAAGACAGTTCTCAATTTACAGCTTTAGTATACATTCATTCAAGTGGACAACCAAAATTTTTTCACATCCTCAAACAATGTTGTTGTTTCCATGTTAAACTAATTTGTTTGAAACATTTTACCAGCAGAATGTGGACAACTTGCAATTTATTGTAACTCATATTTTATGCTGGCCAAAACAACAATTTCACAATGTTCCTGTACTTTGATGACCTTGTTCACTATAAGGGCAGATCTGATGAAGTGACTAACATTTCCGGAATGTTGGTCTAATAAACCAAAACCATTTCTAAACTTCCAGGAGATTGAACATATGTTTCATGTGATTGGAGGCAAAACAGGACATATTCTGTAAGTGGACACCTTTTCTGGGCAATCTTTATAGAAAACAATGTCTTTTTGGTACAAGATCTATGTCTGAATTGCATGTTAGCAAAAATAACAACTGCAATACTGTAAATTCAGCAGTAATTTAACACGTTATACGCCGATAGAAAAAAATAAAAATCGTAAAAATACTTTTGGTCGTAATTTGTTTATTATGTTACGATACGTATAGAAAATAAGTTTTATTCAATTCTGTACATGGGTTACATAGTTACAGTCAAATACATAGCTGAGGTCACCGGTGCACCCCATGGCGCACAAATACAGAAAATATATTTTCCGGTACCCGGCGCCGCNTATGTTTGTCCCACTGCGCAGTATAGTTCTACAGCGCCGTGCCGGTCACGGAGTACGAATAAAGTAACAGTCAGTATGGCCGGCGGCGAGAAAAAGTAGTTTGAATATGACTATACGTTGAGGTCACCGGTGACCCCCATGGCGCTATGATAGAGGAAGGGTGAGGTCACCGGTGACCCCCATGGCGTTTAGCGTGTTAATGGCCCATGGGAAAACCATGTGATTGTTCAATATGGAAAGCGAAGGATACTCGAAAATGAAACTAAGCTGTCA